TTCTAATCACGTTCTCAACTTTGTTTCAGCAGAGGATGTCCTTCTCGAAATACAACGTGAATTGCTTCGGTGATTATTCCGGACTACCGTCGCCGAACTCAATGCGCCGCCCGCGACTCAACTCCGTCTTCGTGGGCAGTTCAACAATGGCGTTCATGAATCCACCACGACGCGTCAAGAGCGCCATCGATATTCAACACCTTGTACTAACATCAGATCGTACGCCTGCCTACCGCTCCATGCTGCCGATGATCAGCTATCGTGAGCGTAAGCCCTCCATCACCGTCGACCGCCCGTATTGCCACTCGTCCACCATCTCAACCGCCTCCAAGCATCACCATCGCCCATCACTGGCATCCGATCGGCCTCTACTGTCGCACTATCAACAATTTCGCACGCGACGATCATCGTGCGCCGTTGATACGCGCCATCGGAACTTTATCAGTTTCGACCAACCGAGGCGCAAAGCGTCCATGGCTATCGAGCGGCCATCTTGCAGTTATCAGGGTCCGATGATCAGCTTCGAATCTTCCACACCAGGCGGCAGCATTGATCATCCCAGCGTGGTAGTCAACCGCCCGAAATACAGTCGTAGTTTTGAACAACCAACAGATTTCAAAACACTACCGCCCCCTAGAATGGCGGCAAGTTTAGATGTCAATGCAGCGAGTTTCGATCGACGTACGTCTATCCCCGAAGAAGATGTCGAAGTAGAAGCTATCGAAAGCGCTGAGATGAGTGAGATGACCAGTGCGCTTGCGCAGAAGAATCAAGAGATTCGTAAAAGTTCATCTGTCATTGTAATGTTCGACGAGGCTGACGTCACCGCCAATGCGCCGCTGCTCGAACGACTGAAAAGCTCCGACGTGTGATAATTACTGACGGCTTTTGTTTTCCCCCGCCATTTTGTCCAACATATAGTAACAAGTTCATATCGAAACGAGTATATATCACCTAACCTAACATTTGATATTTCACGATATGAGAAACAGGTAAATTTATCACGATTTCAAGATGGCGCGTGTGAAGTAGTGTACACGGTTTTGTATACACAATAACAACAACAAATGTTTATCATAGATATAAATATAATCTTGATGATTTCTCCATTAGAAACAAGGTTTGCGTCGTGAATCATCCACTTTTATATCACTGATACACTTAGAGGTTAACTGTTGATGATTCAATGGCAATTCGGCGAACCTTTCGATTGCAACGGTGCTTTATATGTAAATAATCGTCGTGAAATATGAATAACATTAGTTCTTGTTTTACATTCAGAGTTTATTACAGAGTAATAGATGGCGCCAGTGTTGCGTCTTGACTGTAGTTAACATAACCTATCGTATCAACCATTTAAAAAACTTGTTATGTTAAATTAAGAGTATAAATCACTTCGTATCACATCGAAAACCACTACACTTAAATTACAGGGCCATATTGAATAAATACTCAAATTTAAACATAAAAATTTTCACTTTGATTATTGTTAGATTTACAGAGCTGGTTAATATTTTCAAAGTAAGTGTGATTTTACTATTATTTTACTATTTTGTATTGATTGTATAGCTCATATTTATGCAATGTAGGCAACCCAAATAACACATTAGCACAGCGTATACTAATGAATTTAATATTTTACGTTCACATTTCACCAAAATAACAAAATAGGTTTTTTAAAACCAGAACTGTTGTTTGGTGTATGATATGTTGCCTATAGTCTAGATTTTTTAATTTAATTTTTTAAATAGATAGAGTATTATGTTCCGCAAATTCCATCCGAGTCGTACAACAAAAAACATAAAACGAAACTAACATATACATAACCATTACTAACCAACAAGCCAACTTCTCCTATAAACAAATATCTAAAACTATGAATAATACGCATATATAAACCTAACCTAAACAAGCAAATACTATATATTTCGAGTTAGATCCTAGCAGATGAGATAATTTTTTACTCGTAAATCTTACAACTAAACCTATAACTCAATAAAAATAAATAATAACTTGTAGAGTGTTGAAAAGTTGAAACTTGTGAAACAATTATATGAATATCTTGAAAAAACAAATAACAATATCTATATATGTACTACACTACATATGAAAAATTATAGTATTGTGATATATTTATAAAACTCCATTAATACAGGCAGTTTTAATGATTAACAATAAATTATTATTGTCAATAATTAACACCCTGTGCATACAATTACCAAATACCAATTACCAACTTGTATAGGACCAAAACAAAACTTTACTAAATATTAATAAACATATTACTAACAAATTAATAATAAAAATAAGAAATATTCTAGAAAAAATTGTTTGATGATTTGAATTTTATTAATATACAGTTTGTTTATTGTAAAATTAATGTAAAACATTGTATGTACGATGAAAAGCTTTAAATTGCTTTAAATTTAAATAAATGTTTTCCTATTATACATATAGTATATTAAGTAACAAGTGGGCAAACGGGGACTTTACTCACGAGATTGATTAATCGAGTGTTTAATAACGTTTAGCCACGAGGTGCTTACGCTATTTTTTCTACTTCCACTCTTGTTCCACGTTGCGGTTTTTGTATTTCAACTTTTCAATTTTAAATCATCGAAATTTGCTCGCACACTTATACAAACTGTAAGGTTATAAGTACCATGATGCGCGCCGGCGCATGTAACGCTTCAGTTCATATCGTGCCCCTCCGATACGAGCAGCAGCAGCGCCTGCTTTGACGTGTTTGACTGACGTCGCATGGCATTTCATACCGCTTTGTGCTGCTCCGTAGGCAAATGCGCAAATGACGCTTGCTCCGTTCCGTGCATAATACAAGTACATAATGAATATTATGTACGGCGTGGCCGTCCGTATATTAAGTACCACTTTTTGTGTCTAAAAACCGTGGAAAAACTGGCGCCTTATAGGTGGAAGTAGAAAAAAAATCTTATACACACCCTCGATTCGTAATTCGTAATATTGCACTGTGCTGCGTTTGTAATTATATGCATTGAATCATTAACCCAGCCATTTCCCATCTCGCTGGCTATCCAATCAAATAATTCCATTACACTGACTAGCGGATAACTACCGGCTTACACGTTATTACCCTGTAATCTATGGTTCATCCAGATCAAGGCAACCTACATCGCAAAGTCCATAAAGTTTACTCACGCCTACTTACACCGAGATGGCGCTACTCGCAAATTAAAGGTTATTAACAGCATAGTGCATTAAGCAATAAAGCGGTGACAGTCAAAGCTCCTGCTAATAGTTGAACGAAGCATTGTCCACCGCATTGACGATCCAATCAAATAATTCCATTACGGAATATTACGGTTTACAGTTCAGTTGAAGTGAATCCGTTCAAACGACGGCGCGACGCAAGCACAAGAACCGAAAGTAAAACAGTGAAAAATTGAAAGTAAATTTAAAAGTAAATTTAAAAGTAAACATTTTGTTCAAATACAATATTTGTTTTAATACAATTAGTGTTTAAGCATTTAACGTTGTTACTAAATCATTATTTATCAATTAATTTTTTTACAATTTAATTAATGTGATTTTACGAAATTTTTATTATTTCTACCGGAGGTAAGTAAAAATAACGATAATTAATCAATAATAAATGGTTTATTGGCGCAGTTAATTAATTTAAACAAGATAGCTGATACGTTTGATGAGACCCGATCTGACTCAGTGTCTCTGTGACTTTGTGACTTTGTTACCATGTGCCCTGCCGTGTAATGAGAGTTCAATGCGTTGAACCCTCGCGACCCCTGCACGACAATTATAATTGAATCACATGCACAAGTAGTTCACATGTTCAATCAATGTTCTCTCCTTATAAATATGACTCAATACGTTTTCTTTCTTTAGCAAGTGTCTAGTATTCATAATATTTACTGAAAAACACATAATTTATATTTTATTAGCTGTTACTGTTTCGTGCAGGTATATGAATCAATTTTGCGTTTAAACAAGTCAAATTTTATGTAAACTCAAAAAACTGACAAAAATATGGGTCAAAACTTACATACAATGGCACCACTTTAATCATACCACTAAAATAGGCATGTGATGAATAAACATGTAGCAAGAACAAGTAAATTTTTACTTACTCAATGCACAAGTTAATTTTTTTGACGCATATGTTAATTTCGGCATGTAAAAAACATACCTATTAACATAGTTTTTGGCTGTATATATACAAAATTATGCAGTGACGAAAGAAGATAACGCAAATTATCTCAGATATTAAAAGAAAATTACATGCTTAACCTAAAATACGCCGTATTTAACACCCAGCGCCCTCTATACACAAATATTACTATATAAATACAACGTCTGTCAACTGTCAAATGAATATTCATTATTTTTGCTTTGTTTTTAATTTTATTGAATATCACACCATTACAGTGTTATTTAATGCTAATCACCAAATTAATATTAGTCATTGAATTGACTTATTGACCCTGTTGCACTTATATAGTCAACATACTCTCACTTTTTCTTTCACACAGAAACTCACCAAGTAACTGCATTGACTCGAATGACTCACAACCATTCTTCATCTTCGTGATTCACAGCCCAGTATTAAGATAGAATTAAACACAGTGAAAGAATTACAATTCTAACTTTTGCGTTCGTTTCGTGTTCAAACACTTGTGACCGTTAGCTGAAACGTGCAAGGTTCTTGCATTTCACGCATTGCACACCAAACGCTCTTCGCTGATTGGCTGAAGAATCGGGCGCGCCGATCACACCACTTCGTTACGGCAATCGGCTTGCAGCGTTTTTTGAACGCACGCACGCTGTGTCTGTCGACGGTTTGTCGAACACACGCGAGCGTTGGCGAAGTAAAAAAAGTAAATGTGTACACACAACGCAACATCAACAGTGCTCGTATTCACCACCAGTGTTTAACATCAACACTGTTCAGGTAAACGGTTGCGATAAAAATAACCCGAAATATTCGTGAATCAAATCAAATTTAAATTGCGCATGCGCAGCATTGTATGCGCAATGTGAATAGCAGTGAACAAGAAGTCAGAGAAATGTTAAAAAGTATGTGCTTGTATATTATCAGAAAAAATATTCGAAAAAATGTAATTAGCATGTTTGAATGCGATAAACAAATACTTTAGATATTCACACGCTACGTCAAGCTAAATAAAACAATAACAAAACGCGTTTCAAGCAGTGTTGTTATTCGTCAGTCGAAATCGAACGATCGCGGACGAAAAAAACTCAAACTAAAATAGAAAATGTAAAACTAAATTACAGTGCGCTCTGTGACTTCTAACATAATTTAAAGATTTTAATTCAGTGCAACTTAAGTCATTTGACTTAAACTTTAAGTAAGTAAAATTTATTTTAATTTTAATTTAAAAAAGTTTAAAATCTAATAAATTTTCGCCGGTTGTTGAGCTTGTGCGGATTTGAGACAGCAAACCAGCAGGCGAGCTATATTAGTCAACAAATTCCTGCATACCGGTTGGCGTGGCTACGATGGCTGTGTTTGCAGTCTCGCAGACGAAAACGAATCACGGTCAGTCTCAGACGTGCGAAACGTGCTTGCGCTGTCAAAAATTCGCGCGCGATAATTAATTTACCACGTGGTTTGCGTATTTTACACAATTTTAATAATGTTGACTTCTAAACAGCCTAGAATGTCTTCATAATAATTTTAAATTGTTGTAGTGTTTGTGCTATATATTTTTAAAACTATTTTATGTGATAACTAGTTATTAGTATGCATATGGCGCACATGTGATAACGGTTATTTTGTGTTTGCATTCAAAAAGCGATAAAAACATTTCGACATCGGATTTTTTGTAAGTAAATACCGCAATACGTAAAATATTACATATATTAGATTACTCGTAACAATATTATATGTATTATATTAATATTAAAATGTTTTTTAAGTTTTTTAGTTAGGAATATATTTATTTCAAACTGCGTCATTAGAATAACTCGTTTTTACTTTTTTATTGATTTGATTTATTGATTGATGATGACAGTATTAATTCGGAGGGAAATATTAAATATTTGTTTGTTTAAAATATTTAACTTTGATTTATCGTGAATTTTATTGATTTTACTCATAATTTTAAAATTAAAGTAAACTTATGGTACGATTTCCATAAAATATTTTACTACTGAATGACTATGAAATAATAAACTCAGAAACGGCGTCGGATATAAACAATTTACGTTAGTAATAAAAAGCAAAAATTCAAACATTGAATAGATATATTCGAAAGTTAAAAATAGCTTCATCCTGTTTTCGGAAAATATTCCATTGTTATCACTAATGGCTGTGATAGATAGTGTTGTGATATGTAACGTGTGCGTTTTTAAACGTGCATTTTCAACTGTAAATGTATGCTGTAAACAATTTAATTGAAGAACTAAGAATAGAGGTCGTTAATCATTAGCAATAGATGCGCACAATATTTCTACTACTACTATTATTATATTACATATGTGTAGTATGTAGTATGTAATGTTGTGTTGACATGTTTTGTTAGTGTGAGTGGAAGTGCAATTTCTACTTATTTAAATTCATGACGTCTACGATCAACGATCTATGACCACCATCATGTCAATGCCGAATGCATTCATACTCTGAGTGAATAACGTCTTACAATTTTAGATTATGTCAAAGTATCAAGGTTTAAGCGGCAAAAAATATAATGGTTTAATAATTAGGAGGAAATCGTGAATTTATCTACGTAATATGATCATTATTTTTTTTTTATATAAAAAATTAGTTTTTTAAAAAGAGTTCAAAGTTTCAGCGTAAATTAATCGCAACCTCTATAATATAAAAATGAATCCCAAAATCTGTTGGTAAGCACAAAACACAAAAACGCCTAAATCAATTTGGCCAATTCTTTTTTAAAATGTTCGTAAAGACCAAGGATGGTTTTTACGGCTAGAAAAATTCGAATAATTGCCGGGAAAACCCTAAAGACAGCCCTTTTCTATAGGATAAAAGTTGACATTGAAATTCAACCATAGATATAATTAAATAGTTGAATCCGAGAGGGCGCGCTGAAGTGCATTATTAGCTATTCTTTATATAATTAATTTCTTTAAAGTAAAATTGCGAATCTTATTGATAGAATTGATAGAATTACTATGTCTAGAACAAGAGAGTAACAACGAATTACATTTTTATTAAATACTACCGGAACGAAGTCGCGAACTAAAGCTAGTTTTAAATCATTTTTATCCAAATCATTATTATTCGTATTTATAATTAGTGCTTTATCAAATTTTTTAATTTAATATTATTAGCGTATTTAGAGATTCATGCACCTAGATTGAATGATTTATTAGTTCGTTAAACATACATAAATCTAATATGATTTAACAACCTATAGGAGTTGGAAATGTGTCATAAAATCATCGAATTACAATCATTTAATAATCTACCTCGTTAAATTTGATGCAACTGCAGAATGCAACTGTAATTTCACTATTAATGAAGAAACTTATTGGCTAAAGGTATTAGAGTTCAAGTGAATAATAAAATCGAATTATTAATCATGATAATAGTTAATAATTGTAGGAATAACACCGATCATCAATAATCGGCATCATTAGCTTATCATTCAGTAATCAGTACTATTAATGAGATTATAATATGATGTGATGGTCATTAATTATGATAACACAGAACAAAATAACACAACATGCAAAATATACGATATCAATAGATATAAAATGATAGTTATGTATTTTAAAAAATTATTTGAATAATATTTTATCGTAAAAATATTTTCTATAATATTTTCTATAATATTTTATTTTTGGAATTATGATAAGATGTGGTCTGCGTCATCATAGTTTCATGTTTCATATTATAAACAATTCGGAGTAATGAGTGACGATAGGATGACTGATGGTTCTTATTACTTGTCAGTTATCTCGTGCATTTGGCGGAGATGACGAATGGAAACGGTCAATATTGCAGTCAGTCGGTGATGATCTGCTTTAGTGCGAAGTGCGAACTTCATAATAATCATTATTGTATTAATAAATAATTGTGTCAACTGGATATTCACCATTCAGTAATAAAGAGTCACATTGGAAAGTGTATTCTTACAAAAATAAATAAATATATAAATATATTGAAAATTTAAATGAACAGATAAATAGATACGATTTTCTAAGTTTTTATTTTGTGCAATAAAAAAACGATAATTCAACATTCAGTAGTGAAAATTCACGTTAGAAGGTGTGTATTTACCAAAAATAATTAAATTTATATATAAAAATGAATAGCAAAATCTGTTGGAAAGCGCATAACTCAACAACGCCAAGACCAATTAGGCCGAATCTTAATTTTAAAATGTTTGTTGAAGTCCAAGGATGGTTTTTACGGCGAGAAAAATTCAAATAAATGCCTGGAAAACCCTAAAGACAGCCCTTTTCTATAGGATAAAAGTTGGCATTGAGATTCAATCATAGTTATATTTAATAGTTGAATCCGAGATGGCGCGTTGAAGTGTATTATTAGTAATTCTTTATATAATTAATTTCTTTGAAATAAAATTGCGAATCTTATTGATAGAATTGACACATAGGTACTATGTCTAGAACATGAGAATAAAAACGAATTACGTCGCGGGCAAATGCTAGTATATAAATATATTGTAACTTTAAATAACTTGATAACTAGATACGGTTATCGTAGTTTTTAATTTAATTTATTTCGTGTTATAAAAGAACTAAAATCAATATTTGCACTATGATAGCGATTGAGCAATCCAATAAACAAATAATCGGGACTCACGGTTTTGTAATTTCAGGACACAGCGAAGATAACTTCACGCATGTAAACATATCGAAATAAGTTAGATAAATGTTTTAGTTTCCCTCTTGAGGCGAGTATTTCTTTAATATACGAGAATATTAGTTCACCGGCATAACTCACTTAGTTAACACGTTAATATTAAAGTGAATTGAATAAAATATTAGTTTATCGAGGTGAGTAGTTTATTAAAAACATATTAATAATTTTATAACTAATAAAATCAAATTAGGAATGTTAAACGTCGTGAAAATTTAAATCTTTAATACAATTCTAGATATTTATAAACATATGCTGCTATTTAAAGCGTGACATAATTGTATCACGTTTCCGTCCACTCTTCCACTCTCATTTTCACATTCTATTTTAAGTAAACTATGCTAAGTAAAGAGGTTTATCAATAATTTTATTGTATGTAGTTAGTTAGATTTGTAATAATGTAGTATTGTAGTGATAGTACAGTAGTATTTTTAATTGTACTAAGTACTAAGTAGACTTTGTAGTAATCTACGCACGCATAGATTTGTTTATGCTGGTTGTGCCGGTTTGTTTACTCTGAAAAAAAAGTGGCTGAACTCAAAGTCTCGAAGGTCTCACAAGTCGCGACGCGACGTCGGCACGTTGCATGTCTAATTATAATCGTGTACGCACGTGCCTAGTACTTAACAAATATTTTCAAAATATTTACGAATGATTATAATCAAATTTACAAAAAAACGATAAAAAATATTTTTTACATTTTATTATAAAAAATTAACTAGTTATATAATCTAATAAACTAATCTATACTTATTTGGTACAAAATTTAATTCTGAATATATTTCCGAAAGATTTTTTACTGTATCTTTTTTCGTTTTTGAGTAATTAACAAAAAACGAGCGAAAAACAAAGTTGCCCAATACGTGTTATATTGACGTCTAGGTCAAGACTTCTCTTCACACTCAGGTTGTATAGATGTGACCTTCAAACCTGTTTACTATTACAATTATTTTATATTTCCGTAATTATCATATTCAGTATAATTATTCCGAATTGCCACCTACATTTTACAACATTCTCACAAGTCACAAGAAACGTGTTTCCATAAATTACTGTAAGTAGCGTAACTTACACAAGTTTAACTGCGCAGTTTAATGAGTAATGAGTTGTTATTACAAGTGAACAAACATTAATTGGAAGTACTCAAACTACTTCAGTTTGAAATTTGATTACACCCAAAGTCTGTAAAATGCAACCTGCAGTATATCACGTTATGCAACTACTACGTCGTGGTATGTATACTAATAAAGCAGATTAAAGATTATTTAATTTTAATTTTGATAATAAAGTTGGTTTTTCAAAAACTAGATTCGATGCGTTTATTTGTTTTGGTGTTATATTATAGGCAACCCAACATACACCAAACTACTACTACTAGTATACTAATAAAGCGCGTGTTTACAAAATGATATTAATTTTTATATTTTTAGTTTTTAGATTATCGTAAACCATGGTATGTCCACATATGAAAAAACCAAAGCTGCAATACATAATCTACCCTGGCATTTTCTTCCTGTTGAGTGGAATTACGTTGATGTGCCTCTGCTCGAGTTTATACACACACGTTTTGAACTCATCGCTTGGTTTCTCACCGGATTCCGCCTATTTCAAAGCATGGCGGCGTACACAAACACCACCCTACATGGAAATATACCTCTTCAACTGGACCAATCCGGAAGACGGACACAACGAAAATATCAAGCCGCGATTTACTGAGATCGGGCCGTTTAAATTCAAAGAGTACAAAGAAAAATTTAACATAACGTTCAACGCCAATAACACCATCAGTTTTCGTCAGAAAAAAGTATGGTACTTTGATGAGGAAGCGTCATGTTGTTCGTTGGATGTAAACGTTACCACATTAAATGCTGTTTTAGTCGTAAGTATATTATACAAAATGTAAATGATAGATTATATTTGAGGTTATGTTATTTGAATGTTTTAGACCTTGTCACACAAAGCAAAGGGTTATAGCATGGTATTGAAAATGGGTCTTAGTTTTGGTCTGCGGGCAATGTCACCCAATCTACACGTGACGAAAACAGCGAGGGAGTTGTTATTTGAAGGTTACGTTGATAATCTATTGGCTACTCTTAAAAATACGGGCATGGCGAGTTTACCAGACAAATTTGGTTTCTTCCATGGTGTAAGTATTTGTAATTAAGTTCAAATTATTTATAACTAGCTTTTGCCAGCGACTTCGTCCCGGTAGTGTTTAATAAAAATGTAATTCGTTTTTACTTTCTTGTTATAAACATAGTATGTGTCAATTCTATCAATAAGATTCACAAATTTATTTTAAAGAAATTAATTATATAATGAATTGCTAATAATGCACTTTATCGCGCCATCTCGGATTCAACTATTTAACTATAACTATGATTGAATCTCAGTGCCAACTTTTATCCTATAGAAAAGGGCTGCCTTTAGGGTTTTCCTGGCAATTATTCGAATTTGTCTCGCCATAAAAACCATCCTTGAACTTTAACAATCATTAAAAAAAAGAATTGGCCAAATTGGTCTAGGCGTTGTTAAGTTATGTGCTTACCAACAGATTTTGCGATTCATTTTTATATTATAGACTAGCGACTTTGCCCGTATACTTTTTAGAAATTTTTGGAGTGAATATTTTTTGAAATCTTTGATTTTATAGTTTTCATTACAGACAATTTCTCGTAGGTTAAAAATTTTCAATCTGTTCTCCTCTACCTCTTGTAGTTTTTCGAGATATCGAAATTTATCCGAAAATATAGGAAATGTTAACCTCTCTATCAATTTTCATTTGCAATAAACAAACAAACTCACTTCTTAATTATAATTTATATACAGTAGAGTCCGTTTATAATGACATCGAAGGGAACTGACGTCATAATAAGCGGACATCATACAAAGCGATTTGTGAAATGATAAAAAATTTTATATGAAAACCAAACTTCTTGTGTAATTACGTCATAATAACCGGTTGGTCAATATAGGCGGAGTCATACTAAACGGATTCTACTGTATAAAGAAAAAAAAATGTATTATTAAATAATTGTATTATAGAAAAATGATACATCACGTGACGGTTACTACAATATGGATACGCATCCAAGTGCTAAGGGTCTCATTCGTAAATGGAACCATGAGACAGACACTACTTATTTTGAAGGTGCATGTAGTAAGGTACATGGCACTACAGCTGAGATGTATCCGCCCGGACGTGATCAAACCTCAGTTGCTTTCTTCTCTGGCGATATGTGTCGACAACTTAAGTTGGATTACGATAGAGATGAATCATTTTATGGATTAGGCACCTATCGCTTTATAGCTAACACAAGTTTGCTTGATAATGGTAATTTAAACCATATTAATCTGAATTTTTAAATGGTATTTATGTTTGATGTATTCCCTAGGAACTTTAATCCCAGAAAATAGTTGCTATTGTAATGGCAAGTGTATGCCATCCGGGGTGATGAATATCTCTGCGTGCCGTGAAGGAAGTCCTACTTTTATTAGTATGCCGCATTTTCTAAATGCTGATCCTGTTTATCTGGATGCTGTCGAAGGGCTTAGTCCTGATCCTGATAAACATCAACTGTATCAGTTGGTTGAGCCAGTAAGATTATTATTTACAAGATAATTTATGAGATATATAAGTTGTTAAATATTACAGAATACTGGTTTGGTTGTTGAAGCAGCCATTAGAATTCAGATGAATTTTCACTTAAAACCCATCGCTATGATGCCGTAAGTAACATAACCTCGTTTGAGAGCAACAATTTTATTTTAACGTATTATTTTAGGATTATTAATGATGTACCAAATGTAATGTTCCCAATTTTATGGTTCCAAACACAAGCGAAAGGTACACCGGAAGTTGCGTCGAAATTATCACTTCTTCTCAATTTACCCGCCATTTTACAAGGAATTGCGTACACTGTGATAGTAATAAGCGTACTCATGATCCTCGTCGGGTTGTATCTGAAACGTAAAGAGGCAACACCCATCCTACCCGAAATACATCAATCTGAAGCTGTGCCATTGAAAAAGTCAGATTTTGACAGCGGCACGACCAAATCAAGGTTATAATTACCAAAACTTAAAGTACAGCCATCCAAACCTAGAAAAGAATTTAAAATTTACCGCTTAAGTTGCATATTAATAGGTTAGGAACCTAAAAGAACTGATTGCGTAGTCGTTTTTAATTTTCGTGCCAATTCCTAGGTTATATTCGTTACCAAAATATGTTTTCATGACTTAAGTGAGTTCGTTAAACTACATAACTGTAAAATATTAAGTTTGCTAGCGAATTTTTATTTTGTTATGTACATGAGAAAACTAGTCAATGTTGTAGTTAAAAATGACCTACACTACGTAAATCAACCAACTAATAGTTTAATGTTATTATTACAAGTTAGTATTAAACTCGATTAAAAGTCATCTAAACCAAAAACTACATAAATCACATTTTAAATTGTTATACAGTACTAATTTGTATATCACTTAGTGTAAAAGTGAGGTTAAATTCAATTTAGTAGAAATGTCTTGAATAGTAATAATTGCCATTGGTTCCTAAGTGTTTTTTTTGTAGAAAAATAAAAGAAAAGAAAAACTAATCAAAGAATGTAATATTAATGTAATAATATTTAAAAGAAAATTGCATTTGATGTGATATTATATTTCTATGGCATTTGTTTTGTGTAACACATTAGAAGTTATGAAAAGTAAAATTTATTCATAGTAAAATAGTCAAAATATAACAAACGTGTTATTGTCGTTTAATATAATTGTGAATCAGGCATCATGAAAAAGATTTACTGTTACATTTTGTAATATTTCAAAATATTTAATAAAGTTTTGATATAAACACGAATTACGTTAATAAATACGCTATAATTAACTGATATGTGAATTAAATTCAGTCGAAATCAAAATAATGTCGGCAAACGTTTATTTTACAAAGGTTGAAGTTTTATACATTCAAATCACAGCAAATAAAATATGCATTTATGAATATTATTTGTATTAAACATGTTTGTGCATCGAGCGTGTCAATGACACGTGATATTATACAAATATTTAATATAAAAATGAATCGCAAAATGTGTTGGTAAGCGCATAACTCAACAACACCAAGGCCTATTTGGCCAATTCTTTTTTTAAAATGTTTGTTAAAGTCCAAGGATGGTTTTTTCGGCGAGAAAAATTCGAATAATTGCGGGGAAAACCCTAAATGCTGCTTTTTCTACCGGATAAAATTGGCATTGAGATTTAATCATAGTTATAGTTAAATAGTTGAATCCGAGATGGCGCGCTGAAGTGCATTATTTGCAATTCTTTATATAATTAATTTCTTTAAAATAAAATTGCTAATCTTATTGATAGAATTGACACATATTATGCCTAAAACAAGAGAGTAAAAACGAATTGCATTTTTAATAAACACTGCGAAATCGCGGGCAAAAACTAGTGTTTAATAAACTTATATATCTATTAAAATGTCTGGAGTATAACCTAACATATAAATTTAAGTTTTAGTTGTTGATCTGCACAAATCCTAGTTTCGTATTTTTGGTTTCTTTCAATATTTTATCATTATTTGTCATTTTTCTCTGAGACATAATAATGCAACGAATAAATAATGCATTGCTTCACGCTGTGTTATTGTATTTGCACACAATCACCTCGTCAAGTGTGAAAATAAAAATATTTCCAGCCGGTTGTCACAGTTGTCGCCATCTCAAAACGAGAAAAAGACGGTTAAGACTCTGTCTAGACTTTTAAATAATGATCGACTAACAATACCTCAACCACAAGAACTAAAAATAATCGAGTCAAGCATTAAAATTAAAACGTCGAAGTATAAATTGCAATGTCACACACCCAATTTGAGGAGGCGTTTTATCGCGTGCACTTCACAAAAGATGCAAATTTTACCTGTGCGTGACGTCAGCAAGTTCAATAATCTTAATGTTTATCGCTTTTATTTTCACAAATCTGCTAATTTTATGGTGATATTTTGATTTCTTGCTTTTATTCGTGTAGTTTATGCATTGAGACATAAAACCGCGATAAAAAATGTTTGCAGGCAATAAAAACTTCTATTTATGATCAAAATTAAGCAAATTAACTTATATTAAGATATAAATTCCTATATTTTTTAGTTTTGGATAATTTATTAATAAAAACAACCAAAAACAGTTAAAATTTAAGTTTTTAAGGAAGAAAATTGTTTCTCTCGTTATTATAGTAATCAGTATTCCATAATTCAACTTGTTTAACATCTTTCATGCTCAAACCTTGAAAAGAATGTGGTAAACCCGTTTCAACGGTCTTAAGTATCATTATAACTTGCCGTAAGTAGTTGTACTTAAGCACACTCGTATCGATTAAATTCTACTGATGCTTCTTTTTCTGCTCTTCTTCTTCTTTTTGATGACGCAAGCAAATTCAACTTTCTTCACCGCAATCTGATCTTGAACTTGTGTTTAAGACGACTTGAACCTGACACGACTTACAATTTAAACGCCATTAACGCAATATACGAGTATTCCATGTTTAGAGTAGACTAAATCTTAAGTCACATAAACCGGCTTTCATTAATAAATAATTCAACAAATTTTGTATGAATGAAACTATAAAATTCCAATATTTAATAACTATTCAAAAATTGAACTTAGAAATTTCTAATCACCGTTTAATTTCATAATTATTTCCAAACTACATTTTCTAACCTATAATTAGAGCAACCAAACTAACCTAACATTGTAACATCCATCTTAACCTATATAATTAGAGCACTTTCAATAATGATTTAACCTTGACAATGACACACAAAAAAATATTGACGCGAAATAAACATTTCCAATCACTTACTCGTATTATTAAACTCACATTATCTTTGTTATTCAAGGAAATAATCAAACCAACATTTGCGCCATGTTATTAACATTACTTCTGCATGATACCTACACATCACACCTTGAAATTGCTTAGGTAATTATCTAGCACAAAAATTCAAAGACCAGACGCCGATGAAAAAGAAAAAAACAATAAATTGACAAATAAATATATACATAAACGAATTAAATTTTATGATGCCCCAACGCATTCGAAAAAACCACAATAAACATTAGGAAGGCAAATTTTTACATACCAATGTTCTTATTAAATCAAGTGCAATTAAGAATTATGCGCAAAACATGTTTTTATGAAGCTATAAAGTCTCATTTAACTTTGACATGATATAACTCAATAAGGAAGCTCTATATGTTTATAAAAAAATTTTTTTCGTTGATTAAACATAATTGGAGTGTAAAAGTAAGTTTTCTGTGGTAAAATATATTTAAAAATGCTCAATTTATATACAAACCAATAAAATAAAATTTTGCATTTTAAATTTTAACTAACTACGAACGTAATTCCTAACGCGTCATTATCAATAGACAAAAATTCAATTGACTGATAATTATGCGCAGTATGTACGTGTTTATTTATTCAAAGCGGAAAACACGTTATCAATTTTTAAAAATTCGCCTAGAAACTTTAACTTTTCAAAATTTGATAAAAAAATCGATGGATGTACAAGTTTTTCACCGAAATAAAATCACCAGTAGATAATGAATCAGGAACAGTAAATTCTACCCGAACAAAAAATTGTTTACATCATTAGTATTAAAATAGACAAAAAGTAGGTTTGACGTCGTTGGTTTTTGATCAGTTTTTCGTTTTTACAATCGTTTTAATTTTAGTAATTTATAGACGGCGAATGTATAAGTACTTAATGTACTTATAAATATTTAATTATCATTTTCAAATAGGTAGCCGCATACTAATTAAACTAAATTGAACTTAAATCGACCGGGTTGTTAAATCACCGTTGTAATTTTTATGTTTATGTGTCTGTGAACTGCGTGAAAAGTGTTACAATGTAGATTCATGTTTAATAAACGTGATTTGCATAAATGACGCAGATATTACACCAAAGAAATCTTAGTTTATTGGTGGAAAAAGTCTTTAATTTATTATCTTAAAATTTTGATTACTCATTCTTTGATGAAGCAACACATTAGTCACATAAAAAGTCACATAAAAATAAAAATTTTGTTTATTTCAGTTTTTAGTTTTTATTTTTGACGCTAGATGGCTACACATACACTGTTTACGCATTTATATTAATAGAAATATGCAACAAAACAACTAAACCGGACGTGAAACGTATTGTTATTAATAACATGATACGCACATGATACGTTTTACAACTCAACAATGATTAATCATTGAATTTGTTTGTCAATTAACATGTTTATACTGATTTTTCAAAAACGTAAAAAATCCCACGTGAATATACTTAACTTAAGTACAGAAAAATGAAGGTTTAAGTAATCTTAAGCAAGTATTGTGAAAAATTTATCCCAAGGCTCTGTGTTTTTGAATGTTTAATTATTTTCGTTAATTTTGTAAAGTAAATGTTGTTATTGTGAAAATGTTTTCAGACTGTATTGACTTATAGACCAACACGTGACTGTTGCAGACCGTTATCGGTCAACTTTGAATGCATATCAACGCGCATAAATTAATAACTTAAAATTCAATGTTAAACTCGCGTGTGTAACAAATTCATTAACTCACCAAGGTTATAAATTAAATGACGAAGTTAATTTAATTTTGGCATCAAGCATACACGAGCAGATCTAAATTATATAACGCAAAAGTAATGCAGTTTATACATAACACGCGTAAGATATTCAACTAAATATATAGTGGCAGTGATAAGCTATCGATAGAAAGACATATTCATTACTAAAGTTAGATGTTTTGAGTTTTGCGGCGTATATAATTTGTTTTCAATGAATTTTTACTTTGTTATCACTTGTTTTGTTGTGTTCACTACACCAATGCATGGAGATTATAAAACTGTTTATTTACCCCGCTAGATGGCGGCACATGCACTGAATTAAGTAAAATTTTCATGTTTTTGTCTTAAAATTTACTTAAGTCGTTGCAATACCACAAGAGAACAATAGATGACAATATAATGGAGAAGTGTATGTGATATCTATTAATAATTATCATTGGTTCTTTAAATAAGATTGAGTTGCGTCACTATGTAGAGATGCTCGTTATTATGCACATTAATACACCGCCTGCTTTGCATTTCGCCATCGGTCGCGTCAAACGCGATCATCTTCCTTGTTCCAAGTTCCATGCATACATTTGTATGCTCGTACCAGCTCACTAGAGTGAGTAGTGACTTAAAACACGATAAAACAACCCGGCGGAGCGCAATTCAAGTCCACTAGTTGTCGTCCGCCGGTTGTTGTCGCACGCGAGCGACAAACGCGAGCGGATTTTACGCGTGAACGCATCACTTCACTAAATTTCAAGACATCGAATGTCTTCCAAGATTTAATATCTTTGTAACAAACAACGAATAAGTGTCTTTACTCGAAAATATAAATATTTTATGTTTAAGATATTTATTGAAAGGCGCTGTAATTTTTTGAGTGTTTTTTGATTAATTTCATTTTTATATAGAAGATTATCGGTTATTAAGTTAAGTGAAGGACCCGTGCGTGTCCTGACGTGTATAACCACCTGCAAGGATTCATGCTCGTAAATATATCCTTGCTGAGGGATGACTTCTAACTGCAGTATTAGTGTATGGAGGGATTGAGTTAATGATAACCGACCACTGCCAAAAGAACACGTCAAGATTTTAAAATACTATATACGCACACATTTTTACTAATTTAAACAGAACTGAAAGTGAAATTGGAGTGAAAACAAAAGGAAGAAATAAAAATATCAAAATGGTGAGTTTTTATTAAAAATTTACTGGTTATTTATTAATTAATTACTTAAAAATTATTTCTAAATAATATTCTACACCTAATTAAGTAATTACTTGTTGAATTTGTTTGTTGTGCATAATTTTGCAATAATTTCAAAATAAATAAGTAAATTTTCCTTAGTACTTAGTATTATGATAAAATTGTTTTTCATTTTTCTTTTAAATTCTTTTGAATAATTAAATAAATTTTACATAAAATTTTTGCATTTATTTATAGAACTCATATTTAATTACTAAAAACAAAACTACTATTAGTACTAAAAATATTCACTGACCGATTATTACTCATTGTGTCCAGTTATGATTTAATTATTTAATAATTGACTTTGCGGTGGACAAAATTAAAAACTCGTCGCCAAACATTGTTTGAACAAAAACAAAACATATTAGCACGTTTCCACTAGTGTTTAATGTTTATGCTCATGATTATGGTTTTAATTACTATACAATTATTACGTATGTTGTGCATCACATTGCTTATTATAGATTATCATGTCTCGCGAGTAAATTGAATCAAAAACAACATATTTGTAATTTTTGCACTTGTAGATCATGTATACTATTAAGTATTACACGTGGTATTCGTATATAATGTTTATCCATGAATATCTGGGATTAAATAAATAATTTGTTTATTGCTGTCGTAAAAAGTAATAATTGACTTCTAAAATCGGCGTAGAATACTGTTTTTTATAATTTACTTCTAAAAAAAATTGATTCCTTAAAAATTACAACGCAATTATCACAAAATCTTTTATAGTTTTGTTGTTGCATTCAGATCTAGTTTTTCTTGTTTATTCCAAGTATAAAACGTATAATTTTAATTCTTTAAAGATGCAAATGTAATTAATTAAACCCGGATTTGTTAATTATTTAGTTTACATAGACCACAGCTAGATAAATAAAAATAGAGCAACATATCTAGCAAAAAATAGACATAATTAAACTATCAAGTTAACCTGCAAATCAAAACTAGTCGGGTATCGGTCAAAATAATAAAATCACGGTAATAAAAGTCACTTCCTTTAATCTCTTTGCAAAACGCGCAATAAAACTGTAATCATGTTTTCATCCATTTTTTTTTTGGAAATATAGTTTTTTAAACGTTTAATTACATTTGAAAGATATATGTGACGCATGCAAAACTTAAATATTGACCTTCATAAATTAAGAAGAAGAAAAAAGTGGGTTTTAATAAATATTGTGTTCTACATTAAAGCTCAATCGTAAGAATCCATTTAATATTATGCTATCTCATTAAGACTTTTTAGGTGATTGAAAGTTTGACTAAAGTTACATAGTAACTAAACTGAAATAATCTATAAGTAAAAACGAATTACATTTTTATTAAACACTACCGGGACGAAGTCGCGGGCAAAAGCTAGTAAAACTTATAAAAACAATTACCTAACAAGGTAAACAGTACATAAATAATACATAATACATAAATAAACATTCAAAAACTAAACGGGAGTCCCCCTTGATTATGTAATTATTAATTTAATAATGTGCTTTTAAAAAATTGCAAGTTCAAGTTCAAATACAAGTTTAAAACATTTTTTTTAAATATCTAAGCTTCATCAAAAACTACTTTTTACGGTAAATCATATAATTATGTCATTTAAAATCGATTAAAACTTCATACGGATAGAAATTCATCAGAAGTATAAAGAAAACATAAAATGTGAAAGAAATTCTGGAAAAAGTACTGCTTGCATAACATTGACACATCAACAAAGCGAAAAATAACAAATTACGAATAATTACTTTGTACGCACAGAAAAACGTGTTGATGAAATCGATCCCGACTTTAATTAGTTCTACTTATATCAATTAGTAGAAATTGTAATTTGCTGAAAATTGTTCGATAACAACTTTATAATCAATTAAGATTTGTTGACAAATATCTGATTACGTCTTTAATATTTAATTAAGAAATTTCTAGAATATTGTCAAAGATTTTATTAACAAATGTACTCGTCACTTTGCTTTTTTGCTTTTTTGCCGTTGCTCCTTCTACTAAAACATTTAGAAAATGATTTTATTGAAATTTCACCCTTGATCAATCTGATAAACACAGAAATTTACTTTGAACTAAATATTTGACGGACAAATCTTGGAATTAAAATAATATAGAGCAAAGCAAACCTCAGGGTTTGTTTATGCCATGCCAGAATTGTCACAACATTGAAAACTAGTTGATTTAATGTTATCCGATGTTGTTTATTGGAAATATCGACTCGTCAACACCTTCAACAGCTTCGGTTTATCCAACAAATTAACATATTTTAAAGATTTAAATATATAACAAAAAATAATTTGCTACTAATGATTGAATCAAATAAGACATCAACCTTGCGATTTCCAAATTTCAAGTTCATTGTTCATCATTAAGTTAACAAATATTTATTTATTACATCAAATGGACCAATTAATTTATTAATTTATTAATGCGTCGTAGGTAAACCGGTGTTTAAGTAATTAAGCGCTGAACTTTGAATAAATCCTGAACGTGAGTGGATGCATTATAAATTGACTTGGATTGGATTTGCGAGTGACCTTTTGATTGGCTGAAACAATTGGTATTTGCTCCTTGGGTCTTACGACCGGAGGCCTATTAATAGGGGCTAAACGTTGTGCACTTTTGCTCCCACTAACCAAACTAATTATAATCATATTACGCCTGTAGTTATGATTCGCAAATTTTAAACTCAGCCTCAGGCAGCGACATCTGTTTGATTGATTTGATAGAAAACTGTAAAACTGTAAAATTATTTTAATTTGATTTTAATATCTTTGCTGTTAGATTTGATTTGATCCGTGTCATGCACTTTGTACGAGCATTCATGAACAGTGAATAATAAAGTTTGTTGTTTAATTAAAGCCGGCAATTGAGCGATAAGCTGTGCCAGGCCAATTTGCACTAGTCATTGCACTAGTCCAGTGCTTCTCGAACTTTTTATCTCTGTATTACAGCTGCGTAAATCACAATTTATAAAATCGGGGACTCGTATAGGCTTTATCGCAAGTTATATAATTACATGCAGGATCAACATTATTACTAAATATCGATTTAATAGGGTTTAACCGTTAAATATTGACATTGTTTCAGAAAATTTAACATTAAAAACACAAATTGTTTTTTTTTTTTAATAAAAATCTTTTATTTAGTTGCCACGTCAACGTTACTCTTATAAAAGATGTATACTTGGTTGCCACGTTGCACTTACCCGCGACATTCATACTTCAACTCATACATTGATTTTTATTTTACATCTACACGTGCTAACATAACAAATATTACAGTGTGACTATCATTTATTACAATAAAAAACTTCACATATTTTCCGCCAAATTACTTCTACTGTATAAACAAATAATTGTACACTTGATGTAATAATAATAGTACACGTTTTTTGTCAGTTTGTCCAATTTTACTAGTCAGAGTATATAATTATTAATAAAATGACATTAGGTCGTTAGTTTAATTTTTTTTTGTTTAAATAAAAATTGTGCTAAGTGAGATTACTGTGCGTCGTTAATATTCTATTAACACATTGTATGTTAGTTGGTCAACATCAGACACATGCGAATTCTGAAACGTGCGCGCGAATTCAATCACATTAAGTCAATAATTAGTATTTTATATCACATTTTGAACGCTGCATCGTTAAAAACATTAATTCGCGGCGCGTTTTGCAACCTTCTTAGGATTCTCGTCACAGTGCGTCACTTGCCCGCATGTCGCGCCACACGTCACACTTCAGTTCCGGTCGACGACCATTTTAACATTTACAGAATAATGTTTCAAACTCGATCTCAATTAGAAACAGTATACAATCATTTTTATCAAAAGATTAATAACTGTGCTTTATTGATGATGAATTTGTTTTAATTTAATTAGTATTAAAATATAATAAAATCGTGAATTGTGAACGCAACGGTTTATAATCGGATGACACGTGCGCGACATGCGCACGAGTTGAGAATCATAAATTTGATGATTGCTTAACTTTTTAACATTATGCACACGATCAAAATGACTTAAATCACCGCGACATTAAAAGTAACAATCAAATGCTAAATTTAAATATTGACGCTGAAAATGTATTAATTGCGAACATTTAGCATAAAAAAATTGTCTGGCTGGTGGCCATTTTGTCAACATGTTTTTCCTTGTTTTCTACTATGTTAATTTCGTTATAATTATTACTACAAAGCGCGTATATTTGTTGTTAACAACATGATTATCATAAAACACTGCTTCAACACATCTTACACGTGTACTTCATTAATTAAACAGTGATTCGATTTAAAAAATGTAATTTTAATAGGTGTCATCTTCAGAAATGTGAAACGTGTCACATTATCACTCAATTTAAATCATTTACTTGCTAATTTGATAGTTTTTAAGCAATAAATAGTATTTAATTGAGGTTATGCATCACTTTTGACATTTGACATTATTAATTGATTGCAGGTGAATTTCCGCTTGGATGTGTGTACTAATAGTAACAAACTGCTGATATCCTGTGTGCTGGTATCGACCGGCGCTGGATTCCTCATCGGATGGTCCTGGATCTTCAATTCAATGTTGCGACTGGGAATCGCGCTGAAAGAAAACACGTACATGGAGAAACTTTGGCTGGTTAATCCGATGCCGTTGTATTTAGAGATTTATGCTTTGAATTGGACCAATCCGGAAGACATTTACAAGCCGGGTGTTAAACCCAGATTCCAACAGATTGGGCCGTTCTCATTCAGAGAGATCAAAACGAAAGGCAATGTCACGTGGAACGCTAATAATACTGTCTCATTCAGGCAGTATCACTCGTATCATTTTGTCAGAGAGAAAAGTGTGGCTGATTTGAGCCTGCCGATTACTTCGTTGAATCCTGTTTTAGTCGTAAGTTTACGGAATTTATCATATTACTAGTTTTTGTCAGCGACTTCGTCCCGGTAGTGTTTAATAAAAATGTAATTCGTTTTTACTCTCTTGTTCAAGACATAGTATGTGTCAATTCTATCAATAAGATTCGAAATTTTATTTTAAAGAAATTAATTATATAAAGAATTGCTAATAATGCACTTCAGCGCGCCATCTCGGATTCAACTATTTAATTATAACTATGATTGAATCTCAATGCCAACTTTTATCCTATAGAAAAGGGCTGTCTTTAGGGTTTTCCCGGCAATTATTAGAATTTTCTCACCATAAAAACCATCCTTGGACTTTAACGAACGTTTAAAAAAAAGAATTAGCCAAATTGGTCTAGGCGTTGTTGAGTTATGCGCTTACCAACACATTTTTTGATTCATTTTTATATTATAGATGTAATTGAACCTAACTTAACCAAAAATATTTTTTATTCAGAGTGCGGCATACACTGCAAAAATGAAGAAATGGGGATTTTGGATGCGCAAAGGAATGCAAGTGGCCTTCACTCAAATGCACCAAGAATTAGCTATCACAAAACCCTTCGGACAGTATTTGTTTGAAGGTTATTATGATCCCATGGTGGCGCTGTCAGCTAAAATGCCTTTGCCGTTCATTCCCAAACTACCAATGGATGATAAATTTGCTTGGTTTTTTGGAGTAAGTACTTTAAAAGCAATCTACCATCTGCAACATTACTAAAAATCATATTAACTTGTTTTGTTACAGAGAAATGAAACTTCATTTGAAGGAGACTTCAACATGGGCACATCCTACGACAATTTCGGTGTTTTGGAATCATGGAACTTTGCAAACCGTACCAATCATTATCAGGGCAGTTGTGGCCATGTTTCTGGTGCTTCTGCAGGTGAACTGCATCGACCTTATCCAAATAAAGACACCATTTCCATTTTTGTGCCTGACATGTGCCGTAACATGCCGTTGGATTTTGAAGAAGAAGAATCTGTTGATGGAGTTATAGGAAGAAAATACACAGCAGGAAAACGTTTTCTGGATAACGGTACACTCTACCCAGAAAATAAATGTTTCTGTCCAGAGGAATGTTTCCCTTCAGGAGCTGTAAACATCAGTAGTTGCAAATATGGCGCGCCTGGTTTTGTCTCTTTACCAAACTTCCACGGCGCTGATGATTATTATCTGAGTGCAGTCGAGGGACTTAAACCTGTTCGAGACAAACACGAGTTTTACATTACACTTGAACCGGTATGTATTTAAACTGTAGTTTGGGTTGCATATGTTAAATGTGTAAAAAATATTTATTTACAGCTTACTGGAATAACTTTGCGTGTTGCTGCAAGGTTACAACTCAATTTGTTACTTGAACCAGCAAAATACTTAACGTAAGTTAAAACTCTACTAACATTTATTTATTTAAATAATAAATAAATAATTTTTTACAGATTATTTCAAAATGTGCCAAAACTAATCTTCCCAGTGTTGTGGTTTGAAGAAGTCGTTCAAATCCCTGACTTTCTCCTGGTTTTAATCAAAATCCTGCTTTACATGCCGTTGGTGATTCAAATCATCGGCGCGTTACTGATGTCCATCGGTTTCTTCCTCTGCTCAACAGTCATCTACAAACATATCAACTCAACGATGATCAAATCCGGACAATTTGTCTCAAAGCAAGGCAATCAACACACGAAAAGAAATCATCATTTACATGCTTTAACAATCAAGGAGCTGGTGCCGTTGAATGAGAAAGAAAAACTCCGCGTCGTTTACGAAACGGACGTGCAGCTCGTAGGCGACGTATGCAGTTGATGCGCATGCGCAGTGATAATCCGAACAATAATGTTGCGTGCATTTTAAACCACAAAACCGTCCTCGCCACTCCTCGCCTTAACTCTGGTTATACGAAAATTGTTTTAACAATGCGATGAGTATTTGCTTAAGTATAGTTGTTGCTTGAGTAGTGCGCACGTTGTCCGCGAGTCAACATGTCCGCGCCATGAGAGTAACTTAAGTTAAGACACAATCATGACAGTGTTGTGTTTTTGTTTTGTAAACAAGAAAAGAAAAACTACTGTGATACGACAGTGTTGCCAACTCTAACCTAACTTATAATGATGGACGAAGCGTACGTGTTGGTGTGCATTTCGAAGGAAATAATTAGGTAATTAGATGAGTTTGCCTCAATTGAACGATTGGATGGTGTGGTGTGAATGAAAGAAGAGTGAATGAAACAGAGAGATGTCGCGACGAATTGAATCGTTAACTGCGTAAATCAAATCGAATTAACAATAACAATGCAAACAGTGCAATTACAATACAATACAATATTATACTCATTACTTGATATACCAACCGTCCAGATTGGATTTCTGATGGAAATTCATGTACTGATATTTACCACGTGCCTTTTATATGAAATTGGTGATATTTTTGATAATTAGCATGTAAAGTACTCGTTCCAAGTGAGATAAATGTTAAATGTTGGTCTATTTGTTTTCTATTACTTAATTGATAAGCGGTTTTGTGATTATGGTTAGTTTCTACTTAGTGGCTTAACTTAAGTAATATACGTATTTATTAAGTTGCTAAGTACAGTACAGCAAAGATTTTTGTTGGAATTTTAATTTTCTTGTTATTTGAGAAAACTTAGATTAATTCTAATTAATATTATTATTGTTTGAATACTTTTGTTATTAATAAAAACTCTTTGTTTTTAAACTTGCTTAAATTATTCACGAAAAATAGAATTTATTTAAATCTCTAAACATGTTTTTATGATATATTAGCTTTTGCCCGCGACTTCGTTCCGGTAGTGTTTAATAAAAATGTAATTCGTTTTTACTCTCTTGTTCTAGACATTGTATGTGTCAATTCTATCAATAAGATTCGTAATTTTATTTTAAAGAAATTAATTATATAAAGAATAGCTAATAATGCACTTCAGCGCGCCATCTCGGATTCAACTATTTAACTATATCTATGATTGAATTTCAATGCCAATTGTTATCCTATAGAAAAAGACTGTCTTTGGGATTTTCCCGGCAATTATTCGAATTTTTCTCGCCGTATAAACCATCTTTGGACTTTAACGAACATTTTAAAAATAGAATTGGCCAAATTGATATAGGCGTTGTTGAGTTATGCGCTTACCAACAGACTTTGCGATTCATTTTTATATTATAAATTAACTATTAAGTTTAGCCACGTGATTTTTAAGCTATTTCTTCTACTTCTAGTCAATTTCTACGTTACTTTATTACTATATTCAGTACTTTAGTCACGGCCTGGCCATACGAGTTAAAAGTACTACTTTTTGTGTCTTAAAACCGTGGAAAAGGGTCGCTATAAAGGTGGAAGTAATAAAAGTATATTAAGAGAGATTTCTAATTTTAAAATTTGTTTTATTGTGTTTTTCTTATTATTTTCTACTTTTTCTCAAAATTGGGTCAAAAGATAATTAAATAATTAAATTAAATTATTATTTACATACACAATTAAAGTTTTCTTACTTTTCAATTAAAATTTATACTTGAACGTCAAAATTACATGAAATAATGTATGATTTGCTAACAATTTAAACAGGTAACTTAATATTAGTTAATATTACTTAATATTACTTATTAAAAAGTGTAATATTACTAATATTAGTACCAATTTTATAAACAAATATGTAATTATTCCATGACCCTCGTAAATGCGTAATTAACTTCTGTATAAGAGCCGTAAAATTAAAAATAACAAATTAAAACACTTATAAAATACTAAACATAAGTAAGTCACTACTTAAACCGCCATTTTAATTAATTTTTTGGAGACATACTAAATTGAATCAGGTGATTTTACTGCCAGTACTTGAATCATTCCACAGTCAACATTATTAATACTTAACTGAACTTAAATGTGATAGTGCAAAACTAATATTTAGACAGGTGTGTCATGTAGTTGTTAATTTAATTTTTAAAAAAATCATTAAGTGCGAGTCTAGTTGCCTAGCTGACGCAAAATACAATATTTATTAAACTATTCTTATCAATATGAATGTTTATAGCTCAACACGCGTATTTTCCACATCTTCAGCACTTTCCAAAACACATCGATAATAAATTGTCTCGTTGCGTCAATTAATCGTCATAGCAACGCATATTGACACTTAAAATGGCCACTGCTGCAGCACAGCAATCAGAATTTCATTAAAATATCGTAAAATCTGCTTAATACTAAAGTAAACATCGATTAAAAGTAAAAATTATTCAAACTCACGATAATATCACTAATATAAATAGTTTAATCAGTAAGTAAACACTGCGCACAGTGAAGTACTTATATTTCCATGCCCAATGCGTAAAGCATGTGCCTTTAACCTATAACAAGATGGCCGACGCTCAATTACCGAATCTAAAACCGTCTGATAATACTCTCATATCCACAGCATGTGTGTGTGTGAGTGTTGCACGCTTTTCGATTAGTTCACAAGTTCACATTCAGTAGTTCGACAAGCGTAAACGGCGCAGCATGAATTCATGAAATAATAAAATTCGTGACAAGAGGTCAGCGCGATAAGAGGACTCCTTCGCTGATAAGCGCCAGCGAGCGACCGAGCGGATGGCGGTTTTAGTCTGCGCACGGAAAATGTCGCAGCCACTACTCAATCAACCTTAACAAAGTAATTAAATTCAACCACAACGTGACTTAAGCTAAAATAAATCGATTGTTTACATTAAACAATAAATAAAATAAAATCGGATGATATTTAACACGTGCAAACATTTTATTAGTGTTAATGAGTTAATAAACGCAGTAATCGGTTTTAGGTAGTTCAAATTTATATCGCAAGTAAGTAAACTAGACTTAAGTCAGTTGTTATCACCAATAACACACACTAAAAGTGAATTCTTTGTTTCTTTGTTAAAATATTTCTTAAATTAAGTCATATTGACTTAAGAAATTGTTTAGACATTAATTTTTTTAATATAAACAATTTTTTGTTAATATAGCATTAATTAAATTGATTACTCTGTAGATTAATGCGTGTTTCAACATTTCATTTCAAGGCGAGACAGCTGATAGCAGTTTGGTCTTTGTTTTGAAATCATTGAATTGTTACTATATTTAGTATGGTCAATGGTCAACATAAACAATAATCATCTCTGGTTTTTTTGTTTGTAGAAAAATGAAACGCACTAGAATAATAGGGCGGTACTGCCGGGGGTTCGTCTTCACATTGGGGACGGTGTTCACATTCATTGGGTTATTATTTCTACTTCAGTTTAATGGCATGTATGACTTGATTGTAATGAATGCGCTGAAAGTGGAAGATGGATCAAAAGCTTATGAAGCGTGGCGCACTAATGATCCACCGCTTATTTTGGATATGTATATGTTTAACTGGACGAATGCACATGAGGTGTATAATGAAAGTGTTAAACCACACTTTGAACAAGTCGGGCCGTATAGATTCCTCGAGGTGAAGGAGAAGTACGATATTGTTTTTCATGAAAATGATACAGTTTCGTATAAATATTTGAAGAGATATTATTTTATGGATGAAGAGAGTCCTTGTCAACTTACTGATGTGATAAATACGTTAAATACTGTAGCAACTGTAAGTTTTTTTTTTTATTATTTTTTTATTTTAAATATTAGTTATTTATTTATTTAATGATTTTATTTTAGTCGGCAGCTTACAAAACACGTTTTGATGAAGGGTTTAAAAAATGGTCCATGGATTTCACAATGTCGATGTCCTCCTCGGTGTATGTAACGAAAACAATAGACGAGTTACTTTTTAAAGGATATTACGATCCTTTACTGGGTGTTCTCAAGCAGGTATCGCCGTTTTTACCTGATGATGCACAAATTGAAGATCATAATTTCGGTTGGTTTTACAAGGTTAGGCAACTTATTTTACTTGAATACAATTTTTTCTTTATTTAATATTTTATTTGTTTTCTTTCAGCGAAATAATACTAGAAACTTGAGTGGAGAGTTTAGTATGTCTACTAAACAGGATCATACTTTTGGCAGGATGGTTTCGTGGAATCATCGCAACGAAACTGATTTCTTTGAAGGCGAATGCAATAAAATACGTGGATCAGCTGGAGAGTTTTATCCTTTGGATAGGACAAGAGATTCTATTACTTTGTACTCTAATGAATTGTGTACATTCGCTGAATTTGATTATGAAAAAGATGAGTTTATTAAGGATGTGAGGGGGTATAAATATTCAGCACAAACTTTATTTGAAAATGGTAAGTTTTTCATTTCTTTTTTGATTGGCTTTTTGTAATTCTTGAAATTTTAAGGTACAATTTATCCAAAAAATCAATGTTACTGCCAAGGTGAGTGTTTACCCAGTGGAGTCTTGAACATCTCTTCCTGTCGTCAAGGAGCCCCAATATTTCTCTCTTTGCCACATTTTTACAACGCAGATCCTTACTATACAAATTTAATTGATGGACTTACACCAAACAAAAAAGATCACGACTTTTACATCACTCTAGAACCCGTGAGTATTGTTTTTAAATTACTAACTTTCTTATCAATCTAAGCAAAAAATTATTAATCATTTTTTTTAATTTTAGAAATCTGCAATCGCAATTGAAGTAGGAGTTCGTATGCAACTCAATCTTTTACTACAACCAATCAAAGGATACTCGTACGTACAATAAAACAAACAATACAAAATAAATTTGATTAAATATTTATTTATTTACAGATTATTTTCTAACGTTCCTAAAATAATGGTACCTATATTCTTCTTCGATCAAGTAGTGACAATGAGTGATGAATTAGCGACCAGCGTCTATTTAATACAAAATCTACCTGAAATTGTCGAACATGTATCATATGTTTTCGTCGTGCTGGGTGTATCGATGATGATTCTTGTCCTAATAACAAATTGTATATGGCCATCGTCGAAGAACCGTGAGCGTAATGAATATAAAGTTGCTGCTGCACAAGCAGTTGAAGTACCACTTACCACAAAAGAAGTGCACATTCATGCGTAGTAATAATGTTTATTAGGAGGGGGTGAGGAAATTTAGCAATGGAAATGCCAAAAAATAAATTAATTAAGGTCTTTATGCATGAACAAAAATCCATCCATGATCTAAGAACAATTATATTACTTAACATGACAATACATATTTTTAAATTAAAACCAATGTAAATATTTTGTATATAGTTTTATTACACAGAGATTAAAATCTATACAAATAAAACTAAATATTTGTATGTTTTTCTTTGATTAGTTAATTTCTGTTGTATTATTTGTATTTGCGTGTAGTGCAAGTTGGTGCAAATGGTGATACTCATGGCCGTTTGAGTTTACGCACACACTATGACATCGAAGATAAATATAATTCTTTAAAAAATGTATAGATGGCGGAAGGATGCACTTTTGTGCAATAAATGCGAGGCGCGTTCTCGGCACTTGTTTTCTTGATACCTGTGCGTTGTGTTGTTGTATAGTATCAGTGTGCATCTCGATAAACGGCGATATTCGTGATCGTACGTACAACAGGTTAATTTATTTACGTGACACTAAATTTATTTTGATTTATTTTAATAACAATGCATTCAATCATAAATTGTGAGAATTGTTTTGTTTTGTTTAGTGTGATTGTGATAATCGGCAATATTCGGCACGAAGCAGATCTAGTTATTTACGTACATTATTTTAAATTAAATTTTTTTCTTCAAATGAAAACTTTTAGCTTATAAATTATTCGTTAAATACCACCTAATGCCTAATTTATAAAAAAAACAATTCTAAAACATAAATTTAATTTATTAGTATATTGAAGTTATAACTAAATATTGTATTGTCAACTACGCTGATTTTTATTATTATTTTCTAATAGAAATGCATATAAGTCCAATAAATGCTATACGGTCGTGCTCCGTTCATGTCCTTGCCCATGTGATATGAGCTCAAACGTATGCGCACAACATACTGAAATATAACATTCTATTCAGCGCATAGATGTCGCTAGGATGCACTTACTCGCATTAAAATCGAAGCAGAGTAAACGCAGCAACATGTTGAAACATGTTTCGCGATGTTCTTCTTATCACTATCTTTTGTTTGTGTGAGTGAGCTAGCATGTCCGTTTGAACTCACGCGCTGCGCTGCAATTTAGTACGCCACACTCTTGTTTACTTTTCTATCACACGCGTAAAATCCAAAATAGAGATTCATTTCTTACTATATTTTAATAAATTTCTTTCTTTCTACTATATTTCTTTCTTACTATATTAAAATATAGATGTGTATTTGTACAGTAGAATCCGTTTATTATGACTCCGCTTATATTGACCAACCGGTTATTATGACGTACCTACACTACCAAGTTTGGTTTTCATATAAAATTCTGTATAAAAAAGTCGGATATAATGACTTCGCTTACAGTGACATGTCGCTTATTATGACCCATTTGTAATAGATTATGTCCGGTTATAATGACCAACATGATTCTTTACACCTCCGGTAATGTTCGTTGATACCCGACGACGTTCGACACGTGGCGAACTTTTTATATATATTGCTACATTTTTTTTATGATTGTCAAATTACTTTTATGTATTTACTATCGGAAAGACCAAATGCTTAAATAATAAATATAAGCATTCGGGCAGCAGTACCTTGACCACGACTTAATCCGTATTTTCCATTAATCCGAATTTGGCGTGGGTCATTCGACAATCTCAATGTTTTTTAAAAAACAAGAACCGCATTAAGCAATCGTTCAATTCAACTGTTTTGAAACCGAAGAGGTTTCGAAAATCACAAGAAAATTAATTAAATGAAAAAAACAAAAGCAGACAAAAATTACAGATTACTTGCAGTAAAAAATACACTTGTGTTATAATGTGCTGATTACGTGCAATTTTGATTTTGATTTAATATGTATGTATATGTACATATTTACATAAAAAAGGGTTTTCATTTCACAAAACGCTTTGTATGACGTCCGCTTATTATGACGTGTTTGTCAATTCCCTTCGATGTCATTATAACCGGACTTTACTGTATTTATATATTACATATTTTGTATATTAGATTAAATTATCTATAATAAAATGAATTTTTCAACCTAGCTTTAGTTAATTTATGCACATATTAATGAGTATACAATAATTATGTTTGAATTTATGTTGATAAGTTGTGGTTTAGCAAAATAGTTAAAGTTGAGTGCATGAGTATGCATGCACTCAGTGCAATTTTGAAATGAATAGTCAACAGCCTTGCAATCACCTCTTCGGTTGTTTTTTCTTCTTCTTGTCTTTGTTTTTATTACTTATCACATTATGCGACGACGACGTAATATAAAATTAACGTGTAATTAACGACTCCGAATCACATAACCTGCGCATTAATTGCATTAATTATAACTAATCTAGGACGATCGGACGCTAAACATTTCACTTTCCATAAATTTCAACCAAAACAAACAAAAATGCAAACAATATTAAAATTAAACGAAACAATTAATATTTTAATTGATTTTTAACGATTAAATGCAATTATTGGTATGGATTTGTATTGAAATTGTGATAAAATGTAATTATCCTTGAATGAGTGCAACGCCACATGAACTCCACGAGAGTATCGGCCACAATTGCACAACTAAACGACGGCCATCAGATTTGCGACAACGCAATTAAACTTCAACTTCTTGCGCGTTTCTTTGCCAACTTGCAAGTCATCGGTGTTAATTTACTGGCAAATTTTTACTTCTAATTATTACTATTTGTCAATCCTACGTTTCAAACAAAGTATACATTGATTTACTACCTGCTATAACACGCCTGATAATATACAGTGTCTTGAATTTATTGAACAGTGATGTATAAATTGTTTACTGCTATAGATTTAACCTGGTGTATAAACATTTAATGTTTAAATTATGCGTGCACTCTTTGAGAACACTCCCGCCTTTCAATAAACATTGACGGGCGATCGTGTGTGCGCTATGCGTTTCAAAATCGCAAATGAATTTCAGTTTTACTTCTAAGCCTGATTAGATTTGTTCTAAGGTGCAATAGGAAAATCATTTGTGATTATTTTGATAAAATGACCAAAAGAGGTGAGTTTGCTTATATTATTTGATATTTTATTAATTAGAAGAATAAATTAATGATATTTAAGGATTATTATTATTAATATTATTTAAATTGCTTTTAAAGGATTTTTCAACAATATAAAACCAAAAAACAAATTATTTTTTGGAGTGTTATTAATATTCCTATCGTATCTAATTAAATTTGGCACTGAATCCTTAATAAATTTAATAATACGATCACAATTGGAATTTGTCGAGGGTTCATATCATTTTCGAATGTGGCGCGCCAATGAATATCCCTACGAGGTGGAATTTTACTTCTTTAACTGGACCAACAGCGACCGGGTGCGTGATCCTAATATTAAACCACGTTTTGAGGAAATAGGACCCTACCGTTTTGAATTGTACATCAACCGTACAGATATACGCATTCATCACGAAAACTCGAGCGTTACATATGCGTTTACTAAACGTTTTGTGCACATTCCCAACATGGCGGATAGAAGTTTGGATGATGTTATTATTACTTTGAATCCAATTGCTAATGTAAGCTAAGTGTTGAATTAATTCTGGAAAGTTGATAACTACATTTTGAAAGTTTTTAGGCACTTGCATATCAAGCACGTCAATGGTCGGCGTTTCTGAAATTTGGGGCTAGTTTAGCTTTAAGAGCAACGAAAAGTGAATTGTTTGTGAAGAAAACTGTACAGGAACTTTTATTTGAAGGATATGATGATCCATTGTTGGATTTTGTACAAAAAATTCCTAATTTTGCTACACAAGGACTGGGAATGGAGTTGAAAGATAAATTTGGATATTTCTATAAGGTAAACATTTTTAAAACCTGTTTTTATTAAGATACTAGCTTTTGCCCGCGACTTCGTCCTGGTAGTGTTTAATAAAAATGTAATTCGTTTTTATTCACTTGTTCTAGACATAGTATGTGTCTATTCTATCAATAAGATTCGCAATATTATTTTAAATAATTTAATTATATAAAGAATTACTACTAATGATGCACATCAGCGCACTATCTCGGATTCAACTATTTAATTATAACCATGATTGAATCTCATTGTCAAGTTTTATAGAAAAGGGATGTGTTTAGGGTTTTTCCGGCAATTATTCGATTTTTTCTCGCCGTAAAAACCATTCTTGGACTTTAATGAACATTTAAAAAAAGGAATTGGCCAAATTGGTCTAGGCGTTATTGAGTTATGCGCATACCAACATATTTTGCTATTCATTTTTATATAATAGTAGAGCAGCAAATTGAAAAGTTTTCATTATTTAATATTTTTTTCAGAGAAATTATACAGATTTATACTTTGGACCTTACAACGTGCACGTAAATGTTGATGAATTTTACGGTAATATTCACACTATAAAAAATTCAACAACAACACCGTATTTTCCGGGTACATGTGGTCGAGTCCATGGTAAATTAGGAGAGTTCGCAGATCCTGGCCATGACCAAACTCAACCAATGGTGGTCTACGTACACGACTTAAATGTCTTTACAAATAATTATTTTCTAGAAGAAAGAATGTTTAATGGAGTTGTTGGCAGTGTATACGCACCCAAGGACTACATATTTGACAATGGTAACAAAACAAATTCATAGATGGCCACACTTGTATTCTTTTCAATATAAAAATATTTTAATCTTAATTTTAGGAACATATGACAAATCAAACGAATGTTTTTGTTTCGGGGAATGTGTACCAGTGGGAATGCTAAACAGCTCAGCGACTTTTGCTCATGCACCGATTTTCATGTCTTTGCCACATTTTTTACTTGCCGATCCTGTGTATCAAAATGGCGTCGATATCGTTTATCGAGATAATAGTTCATTAATGCCATACATTGCAGTTGAACAAGTATACTTATTAAACAATTTTTTAATAGAATTTGTTGTTATTAATGTTTTTATTTATAGACAACTGGTTTATTATTAGATGGTTCTTTAAATATTCAACTAAACATGCTTCTGCAGCCTGTTAAAGGCTTAGGGTAAAGATTTTAAAACATAATTTTCACTTTAATCATAAAATCTAATTATTTTTAGCTTGTTTTCGGATGTTCCACGAGTTTTCATGCCTGTATTCTCCATGAAACAGCACGTGGTGACACGCGGCGGGTATTTAGACTTGCTGGTCGTGTTGCAAAAAGTTCCAATCGTGATTAATTGCCTCAGCTTTTTAACACTCGCTGCAGGAGTGGGATTACTCCTCTTTGTTCGAATTTCTCTTAATGACAACCTATACAGGGAGTACCGACAAGTTCAAACCAAGTAATTATTAATTTAGAATTAAAATTGTAAAAATATATAAGTTATGTTTGAATAAAATGCAAATCATCATGAATGAAGTTGGTGTGTTTGTAATTTTATATTTTTTTATTATGCAATTTTGGCCAATTTCAATTGACCCCATTCGCAAATGTGTCCTATTTGATGCTGTAAATAAAACAAAAAATAGCACACGATTAATTGAGACGAGCTGAAAACTTAATGCATTCAACGATTTACGACTTACGACGTAGACTTGTCAAGTAGTTCTGGAAATAAAATTTGGCGAATTAAATAATGATGCCAAGATGCACGTAGCTCACTTTTTGACGGTAAAAATTTAATAGTCGTTATTAAAAATTAATTAGAGCCATAAAATTAAAGTACTAATATTAACCTATAACCTATAACCTTTAGATAAGATATTAATATTTTTTAATGAATAATAAATTTAAGTATCTATTATTTATAAATTTATTTTGTTTTACGTTGAGAGACTTTCTTTTTCTATAAGTTCAAGTTTTGGTTTATTTCTTATGACTGCGTGGGAAGTATCTAAGTATCAAAATAATTGGTGGATTTTTTTTTGATTCGTGGAGGTCACGGTTGCGCCGTCGTTGTCGCCGTTGTCACAATACTCGTTGATTTGCCGGAAGTACCGCGTTGACCTGGATATTCAAGTACGCCCGATCTTGACCATTTGATTGCAACTAATCCGCGCGAGCGTCACCAGCGTTTACCGTCGTCTGCCAATGTGTCAGAGCTTCGCCTCGTTCTCCTCTTCCAGCTTCCTGATTTGTGATCCACAAATATCGACAGATTTTATAGAATTTTCTCGAATTCCACACAAAATTAAACATTATCACTAAGCATTATAATTAATACCTATTAAGTATTAATATTAATTACAACCATTGTATTTTTTATATATTAATTATTATTTTGATTACACTCAGTGTATAAATTTAGTTTAACTTCCAGGAACAAAGGTACCACTGAGGAAATGCACGTAAGCCGATGCAATATGATAAATTGCTGAAGTGCAGCGAACAATTTTGTCATCTTATCATTTCATTGTCCTGCAATGTCTCGCAATGTCAAGTAATTTATATGCAGGCAGAACGTGATGTATAATCACGTAGACATTTCTAGGAAATGCTTCCTTTATAATAATAAGAATTATTAAGTTTATCTTGTCGTGAGACGAGGAAATAGTCTTAAATTTGTAGGTTTCAAAATCAGAACTAGATGGCGCTATGGTTCTATATTTATTAAAAATCCATCAATCTAAATATCTTTTTTACTTTGAATTTGTTATTCTTTTCAATTATTTTCACTTGATCAGCCGCCTTTGAAGATAGATAAGTAATGAAATGATTGTAAAGATTGTAATTGTTATCTTAGTTATAATAACATTATGATTAATGATTACAAAACTATTAACAAAGGTCTAATGAAGAAAGGTACTTGAGAGTAAGGTTGTTTTATATCAGGTAGTAATAATGAATCGAATCCGTTTGATGTTACTTTGTGTGTAGAAAGTATTTGCGTGTGTGAGTGTAAGATAGCAAGTTGGAAACATGCTGACAATGAAAATTAATGTCTGATTGAAGACGTAAACATTGCAAACAACGCCGGTTCGCTTCGGTAGCGGGGCAACAATCGTCAACAAAACACGTTGCGACAACGCGAAAGTTTTCAGTCGTGCTTGCACCACGCTTATCAACTTGTTAACACTAAAAACTATTTAAGTTAAAAACTTTAATCAAAACTATATATATAATATAAAAATAAACACCAACTAGTATCGAAGTTTTAAACAATAAACAATTATAAAGAAAAATGTCCCTCTCGCATGCAAAACTGTCAAAATCAAAGTGAGTTCATTTAAAATTTTATTTTATTATTATTATTATTATTAAGTAGAAATTTATTTATTTTGTTTCTTTGTTTGCCGTTTAAGTCATGATATAACACACACGAAATTATTAAACGATTCACAAAGCAGTTCTCAGGAAAGTATTTCTCCAAGAAGTATATTTGCACAAGTAAGTCTTAAATAAATAAAATAATTAATAATTAAATGATTATTTTGTGATTTGCTTAGTGTTTAGTAACAATGGCTGTCATGTTGAGTTCGGCAAGTTGCGGAATGCCAATCGGATATTCCGCCATCTTGCTTCCGCAACTCAAGAACTCAAACGACACTTTGCTAATTGACGACGAGATTGGTTCTTGGATTGGTAAGTTTTCATCACAATTATTCTTTTACATTTCAATGTTTTTGATATACTCGTATATTTGCATTCGTAAATATTTATAATTTAATATAAATAGCAAAGACCTTTAAAATGTTTATATTAAATATTGGCAAATTATTATTTTTTATTGTTTCACAGAAACAATATGATATTTGTCTTGTTGGAATGTCCTTCTCATTGACCTAAATGTTGCGGCAACACGCTTGTTATATGTTTAGATAAAATTTATTGTTTTATTTTATCTACACTATAGTCAATATTGATAGATTTCTTATATTATTTGATTGTGCAATTTTTATTTAAATGTTACTTTAGTTGTCTACATTTATATTTGCATTTGGAATGGGCAGATTGAAAGCAATAAATTAAATGGTTTAGTATTACCGGACGGGTCATTGACTTTCATGACAATTTGATTCAGCACTGCACACATTTAAATGAAGGAGATTAATCTCAATTCAAAGATCTTTAAGCCTAACGTATCAAACCTTAAAGCACATTCAATACCATTAATACTATTAATCCTCAATAATAGACAATATACCGATTTAATTTGCCTACTATTAATTCTAAATACTGAATAATTAATTTGTTTTTGCTTTGTTTGAAAATTTTCTATGTTTAGCTAGTGTACATTCGGCTGCAACTCCCTTAGGTGCACTTCTGAGCGGTGTGTTGATGGAGAGATGCGGGCGCAAGTCGGCACTGCAGATTTCTGCATTACCTTTGGTCATCGGCTGGCTTTTGATTGGTTTCGCTCATAATCACGCTCTGATTCTCATCGGCAGATTAATTGCTGGAATGTCTGCGGGTTTATGTGCTGCTCCAGGTCAAGTAAGACTATTTAAGATTAACCATATAATATTCACCGCATGAAACCGCTTCATAAACTTTGAGGTTAAATGCACAAATTTACCGGTTATTTCTATTGTACTAAAAGGTACTGATTGGTGAAACATCTGAACCTCATGTACGTGGAATCTTCAGTAGTATTCCATTTGCAAGTTATTCTTTTGGGATACTTTTAGTGTACGCCATGGGGACTTTTCTGGATTGGAGAACTGTTGCAGGTATACTTATAGATATAACCTTAAAATCACTACTCACATATTTATAATTCTTATTAGGTTTGAGCACATTACTGCCACTATTCGCCGCAATAGTTTTCTTCTTTCTACCCGAGAGTCCAGTCTGGTTAGTAAAACAACAACGTGACCAAGACGCAAAAGAAGCATTGATTTGGCTGAGAGGAGGAGATGTAATCCAAGTAAGTTAATTTAAAATTAATTTTTCGCTGACAAAACACAATTTAACTACGCATGCATTTGATTTGCGTTCACATCATTCGCTTGATTTATGATTTATCGTCTGCGGTGTCTTGAGGTCGCGGCGAAACTGATTTGCATGCAAAATTTATGCAAAATAAAAGTCTTCGAAGGGGGATAAGAAAGAAAAACGCTTAGTTGGCATTTTAATACGATGATATTCATGATATTCATTTTATAATGATGCTCATAAAGTTGCCTATCGCAACAAAAACCGATAAAATCATGTTAAGTTATTTTTTGTTGCAAATTCGATCATATTACACTTGAAATCCTCAAAATAATTAGTCGCTTATATTATACAGCATTTGCATGCGACATACTATTTATTTTCATATTCATATTTATATAAATTACAATTTTCGACTGTGGGTGGGAATGTGAGCTCGTGAACGAGTTTTGTACTCTTATCTGCGTGTTGGTGTGTTTTCGGTTCACGTTCGCGTTTTCGTTCGCGTTTCATCCTCGCAACATCCTGCTATCCTGGTATTATTTTATACAATTTATTTATATATTTCCACGCTGGCACACCATAAATAATATAAATAATATAAATAATACACGTTGTAACAAATTACGGCCGGAGTTTCGGTATTCACTAGAAATAACCGCGCAATATCATTCATGATGTGAGTTTATGAGTTGCCAAATGGGAATTTCATATTTCAATATTATAAATTGAAATATAAAGTCATATAAAATTAATATTATGAAACATTGATAAGCACACATTATTAAATTGTATGAATTATAGTTATGAGAAGTTTTTGAAAGTAATTTAATTCATTTTACGATAAAATTACAACAATTATTATTAACAAAAATGAAAAATACAATAATTGGTATAATGGGATAATGAAATAATTGAGTTATAATTGGAATAGGAATGCGCGGAATGAGAATTGCTTACGAATGTTTGCAAACTTACGTTTAATTGGCATTTGCTCAATTTCCTTTACTTGAATCTCTCGAAATTCTTGAATTGCTTCAATCTCATTTAAATTTCCTTTGTTTCCGACGCAAGTTGCGCCGACGTCGAATCGATTCGTCGTTCGACGCATAAACGAAGCTTTTATTCATTTTCCGTCGAATTCGTCGAATGAAATGCTAATATTGTAGGAATAATAAGGAGCTAACAATTAAAGTAAAACAATTAAAACAAGTGAAATCAAAAAAAAGAAAACATTTTTTGTAGGTTCTGAGATTTAACGTAGGCAACCAACATTACACAAGAAAAATTCAAACTTTAAAAACTTCAAACACAATTTTCTTAAAACCTACAATCACAATTTAAACTCATACTTAATTTATGAATTAAATTGTTTAAAATTATTTTAATAACAAATTCACTTACTAGCACTACTTTATTATTTAATAAACAATATGAAATAAAAATTAATAGTTTTCAACATCCCACACAATTTTCACTCATAATTAAAGTAAAACGTAATCATTTTAATTATTTCATTATTGATATTCACTTATTTATGCAAT